ATAATAATAATAATTGATAATAGTAAAAATGACAATAATAATAATAATAATAATAATAGTAATAATAATAAATAATGAAAGATGAAATGAGCATAATAATATTTATCATAATTGTCAACTTGTCACTTCACATTTGCTTGCAATTGTTTTTATGACAATATGTGACAACAAATCGTGAATATTAATTGACAACAATTGCTACTACAATTATGAAACAATGATTTATTTGTTTGTTTTTTCGAAAATTAATTTTATATTACTCTTTTAAATTTAAATAAAAGTAGAGAGAAAGAGAGAGAGGGAAAGGGAAAACATAAAGATTTGATTCCATATTTTATCTTTCTTTCTTTCTCTCTCTCTCTCTCTCTCTCTCTCTCTCTCCTAAATTAAACTTATCACTGTTTAGCGATTATAAATATACCTCTTTTCTCTTTTATGTTACAATTAACCCGATAAAATTTCAAAAGAATTAGGCCATAATTAATGGTTCTTAACAATTAATTAATGAATTTCTTAGTTATTGGAATGAATAATTTTCAGTAACAAAAAAGTTTAATAAATTCATATTTTTCCCTATTAGGAAAAAAAGAGGTAAAAAGGAAAATTATGTTTATAAAATAAGTTTTTAAAAAGATTTTTCTTCCTTTTTAAATATATTTTAAAAAAAAAAAAAGAATTTTTTCAACGTACATATAGAAAATAATGAAATCCAAATTTTAATTATTTAATTAAGTAATAGTAAATAAGTCCTGAATAAGTAAGTAATATGAGTTTTAAATAAGTAATGGTAAATAATAATAATGGATGTAAAAAATGAGTTTTTTGAATAAGTAAAATGAATAAAATATAAAAAAAGACAAGTAAATGATAGTAAATGAATTTTAAATAAATGATAGACAAATTAATTTTAAGCATATTACACTTGGATTTTTATAAAATTGATTTAATTTCATAAATAAGTTCCGAAATGAAACTATGCAAAAATCTTTTATAATCTTATAACTTATCAATTATGTCCCAAAATATTGCATAAAATGAAAATGACAAAAAAAAAAAAAGAAATGAAATGATTCTTTTGTTTGCAACAAAAATGCGATCATTTAAAAAAAAAAAAAAAAAAAAAACAATAGCAATAAATTTTGTATCGGATGAAAAAAAAAAAAAAAAATGTCAAAGTCATTAAAAGGTAAACATTTTGCAGACGAGAAACAATCATTAATATTTCCTATTTACTGTTTGACCTTTGACTTCTTCCAGTGTAATAATTTTTTTCAATAGTACTAATCATTTCAAATCATTATTCATCATAAATTTTAAATCATTATTAAAAAATTACTTTTAAAATTTAATAAAAAAAAAAAAAAAAACAAGTTGAACAATTGTTTAAAATACTGAAAATTTTTGATACTATTATGAATATTCGTATATCCATTTTTTTTAATTAAAAAAAATTTTTTTTTTCTAAAAAAAAATGATTCAACAATTTGGTAGAAAAACAAATTCATCAATCATTGTTGACTTATAGACCGATTTTTTAATCCTATATATGAAAGAAAAAAAGAAAACATTACTTTCACTTGAAATAAAAAAAAAAAAGTGACACTCAATCAGTTTTTTTTTTTTTGTTAAACAAGAAAAGAATGAAAAAAGAAAAATAAATAAAATTTTCCTTATCATTAGCTAAGAAAAAAAAAGGTGATAAGCACAATCAGAATATAAAAATGATAAGCACAATCAGAATACAAATATAAATAATTGTATAAATTTTCATTCGTTTTTTCATCCTTTTTTCTTTTTTAATATTTATTTTATGATTTTTTCCTAAATTTTTAAATTAAAAATTAATAATTTTATTATTGGAAATGATAAAATTAATGAATAGTAATTAACATTTATTACTCTTTGTAAATGTTAAAATAATTTGATAGTAATGAGAAATATCGTACTAAATTATAGGTTAAATTGGTAGTAAATTATATAATATTGGAATCCTATATTAACTTCAGGAAAAAAAAAAAAAAAAACAATGAAAAGATTAATATGGAATAGAAATATCATATTAAAATATATAAAATATCAGTTAAATTGTTAAATTATACTCGAATCGTATATTAATTCCAGAAAGAAAAAAAAAAAAAAACGGAAAGATTAAACGGAAAGATTAATATGGAATCGTTCGCTTTTTTTTTTTGTTTTCTTTACTCAGTATTGGTTTTGAATTATGAAATTTAATACGAAATCGAATTATGAAATTTAATACGGTAGAAAGGGAAGAAATAATCTGATTAAAAAAAATTTTTTAAATTTTCATTTTCTGTTCTTTCTGCTATTTATATCTAAAATATTTTAACGAATATTTGTTACTTTTTTCTTTTCTTTTTTGCTTTATCATTCATTTTGAATAAGCATAAAAGTGAAATGAAATGAAAATATTTGTTAAAAAAAAAAGCAAAAAAAAAAAAAAAAGAAAGAAAAATAAAATAAACAAACTTATCAAATGGTATCCAAACATCTGGTAAATAAATGAAACATGTATGTTTGCAATCATTGCTATCTTCTGAAGTCATAATTTATGCAAATAGCTGAAATTAAAACTTTTATAATCTTTTTTCTTTTGAATCATTATTTACTTCATAATTCTTAATTTTTTTTAAAATCATTATTTGCTTAATAATATTCCTAATTTTATTTACTTATCAATTTATTCGATCATTACGATTTTCATTCTTTTCTTTTTTTTTTTTTTTTTTTTTTTTGCTCTTTATATCAAATTTTTAATTTGAAAATAATTCAAAAAATAATATCAATTAGCTATGAAAATAAGAAAATAGATCATTGATATTAATTCTAAAATTCTTTAATTAATTTTACACTTTATCATATAAGTTAGCTACTAAATACGATAAGTATTATAACTTTTAAAATGTAAAACTATTTTGACAGCAATTCTCGAGAAGAGATTATTTCACATTGCTAAAATTATTTGAAGGATTTAATTTAATTTATTTATCATTCAATCTACATTGTCAACAAATTATAGATTGGAATTATAAAATAAACAAAAAAAAAAAAAATTACTTATTGATTTCGATAAATTTACAAGCGATAGCTTTTTCCTCTTCTTTAACGAGTTCTTTATGCACTGGTTAAAACTGTAAAGTAATTCGTATCCAATGAATTTTGCTTGTTTGTTTGTTTGTTTATTTACTTTTTTACCACCAATTAATGCTTCCTAAAATAATGATAAAAGTTTTACAAGTTTTCTTTTTTTTTGTTCATTCGAAATTTCACAAAAGAAATTAAACGTATAATTTAAACGATTAACATACTTTATCGATGACATATAGTTATGCAAATGAAACATTAATGAATAATCAGATAAACAGGTAAACAGGTAAACAACAATAACTTAAATTAGTTTCTTTTTTTTTCTTTTTCATTAAAAGATAAAAGAAAGAAGAAAGCAAAAATTGCTTTTAAAAAATAGCTAATTATAGATTTGATCAGTTTTTTCATTTTTTTTTTCTCTCTCTCTCCCTCCCTCTTCCCTGTAACTTCTAAATTTTCTTATAATAATAATTATCATACATCATAATGAATATTTTTTCATTTATTAAAATACAAAATTGTAATATATGCAAAAAAAAAAAAAAAAAAAGAAAGAAAATTTTCCTTTTTTTAAATTCTGCATTTTTTCAAATCTTTCATTATCGAATATTATATAAAAGTCATAAAAAGTTATGGATGAAATTTAACATCGAATATTTTTCGACTTTTCGATTACAATTTGACAAATTTTAATCGATTTTTTTCATTTCCTTTAAAATCATTAATAGTACCTATTAATATGTAAATAAGTAAAAATTTTTTTGTGTAATAAAATGATTTTTTTTTTCAAATTTTTTTTTTTTTTTTGTTGATTAAAAAAAAAATAAAAGAAAGGAAAAAATTAATTCGATGAGATGAAACATCATCAAAAGCAATAGAAATAGCACCAAATGATGAAAGAATAATTGATCATCAACTAATTTTTCTTTTTCTTCTTTCTTTTCTTTTTTTTTTTTTTTTGAAAATATATTTGTGAAGAATAATTACTCCTTTCTTATATAATTATCAAAAATCTTTTCTCTTTTTTAAATTTACAAACAACTAAAATGTATTTGAATGAAAATTAACAATTGTAAATATTAAATAACAATCTAAAAAATTAAGAAACAAAGAAAAAAATAAGATGAAAAGATGAATAAAAAAAAGAATGACAATAATGAATGATTAAATTTCATTTTATTATCTTTTAAAATATAGTAAACAATTTAGTTCAACTAATAATTTACTAAAAAAAAGAAAATATTTAAAAATTTTTTATATAAATTTTAAATGAATGAATTTGTAAGTGTAAATGATTTCCCTAGCATATCATTTTAAATTATTTCATCTTCATAATAAACAAACTTAATAATAAATAATTAAGAATTAGGTGAAAATTTTTGAATAGAAAAAAATAAATTAATTAATAAACAAAAAGATTTCAAATTTATTTGTGAACTCAAAACTAACAATCATTCGAGCAAAAGCACATGACGCTTTTCCCCGTATTACTACTATTTATTTCCATTCTATATGACCAATTCATTCTCTCTCTCTCTCTCTCTCTCTCCGTCTATGCCCCTCTACCTCTTTCTCTTTCTCTCTTCCTCTCCATCTTTCTCTCTCTATTCTGTCAAAAACTTAGCAATCAAAATTTTACCACTTTTTCTCTACTCATTTTTCCTTTATCTCATTTCCTATTCCTAAATGAAAAGAATGAAATTAAGTAGGTGATGAATAGCATGAGACACAGAGAGAGAGAGAGACAGGGAGAGCAAGGGACAAGGAGAGAGAGAGAGAGAGACAAAGCGAGAACATTTGTATGTATATGTATGGATGTGTATGTGTGTGTATGATTGTGTGTGTGTGTGCGTATGTATGTATGTCTAAGGGAAGGGATGATTTTTGATGTCTTAGATTCTTTTTGTAGTAGCGAAAAATAAATTTCGAAATTCCAAAAATTTTTTGCAGCAAACTAGTGCAATGGGATGATATATTGATTTGCAGTGGTGATAGTGATAAATGATAAGGAAAGGAATAGAATGGTTGTTAGAAGTGTCATTATCATTACTATCATTATCATTGCTATCATTATCATTACTATCATTATCATTACTATCATTATCATTGCTATCATTATCATTACTATCATTATCATTACTATCATTATCATTGCTATCATTATCATTACTATTATTATCATTACTATCATTATCATTACTATTATTATCATTACTATCATTATCATTACTATCATTATCATTACTATCATTATCATTACTATTATTATCATTACTATCATTATCATTACTATCATTATCATTACTATCATTATCATTACTATTATTATCATTACTATTATTATCATTACTATCATTATCATTACTATTATTATCATTACTATCATTATCATTACTATCATTATCATTACTATCATTATCATTACTATCATTATCATTATCATTACTATCATTATCATTACTATTATTATCATTACTATCATTATCATTACTATCATTATCATTACTATTATTATCATTACTATCATTATCATTACTATCATTATCATTACTATCATTATCATTACTATCATTATCATTACTATTATTATCATTACTATCATTATCATTACTATCATTATCATTACTATCATTATCATTACTATCATTATCATTACTATCATTATCATTACTATCATTATCATTACTATTATTATCATTACTATCATTATCATTACTATCATTATCATTACTATTATTATCATTACTATCATTATCATTGCTATTATTATCATTACTATCATTATCATCACTATTATTATCATTACTATCATTATCATTGCTATTGTTATCATTATCATTACTATTACTATCATTATCATTACTATTATTATCATTACTATCATTATCATTACTATCATTATCATTACTATCATTATCATTACTATCATTATCATTACTATCATTATCATTACTATTATTATCATTACTATCATTATCATTACTATTATTATCATTACTATCATTATCATTGCTATCATCATTACTATCATTATCATTACTATCATTATCATTACTATCATTATCATTACTATCATTATCATTACTATTATTATCATTACTATCATTATCATTGCTATTATTATCATTACTATCATTATCATCGCTATTATTATCATTACTATCATTATCATTGCTATTGTTATCATTATCATTACTATTACTATCATTATCATTGCTATTGTTATCATTATCATTACTATTACTATCATTATCATTGCTATTATTATCATTACTATTATTATTATTATTTATTATCATCATTAATTGTCATTATTATTATTTATTAGTTGTTAATTATTAATTATATCGAAGTAACAAATTCATTTTTTACGTGCATGTATTGAACGGTACATACTTGAATTGTTATTGAAAAAAAGTTTATGATAGACACAGAGGTGTATGAAGAAAGATGCATGGTACACACACGTATATTGGGAAAAGTGTACGATACAGACGTGTATTGAGGAGAGTACTTACTGTACACACGTGTATTGAGGAGAGTACTTACTGTACACACGTGTATTGAGGAGAGTACTTACTGTACACACGTGTATTGAGGAGAGCACTGCACTGTACACGTGTATTGAGGAGAGTACTTACTGTACACACGTGTATTGAGGAGAGTACTTACTGTACACACGTGTATTGAGGAGAGTACTTACTGTACACACGTGTATTGAGGAGAGTACTTACTGTACACACGTGTATTGAGGAGAGTACTTACTGTACACACGTGTATTGAGGAGAGTACTTACTGTACACACGTGTATTGAGGAGAGTACTTACTGTACACACGTGTATTGAGGAGAGTACTTACTGTACACACGTGTATTGAGGAGAGTACTTACTGTACACACGTGTATTGAGGAGAGTACTTACTGTACACACGTGTATTGAGGAGAGTACTTACTGTACACACGTGTATTGAGGAGAGTACTTACTGTACACACGTGTATTGAGGAGAGTACTTACTGTACACACGTGTATTGAGGAGAGTACTTACTGTACACACGTGTATTGAGGAGAGTACTTACTGTACACACGTGTATTGAGGAGAGTACTTACTGTACACACGTGTATTGAGGAGAGTACTTACTGTACACACGTGTATTGAGGAGAGTACTTACTGTACACACGTGTATTGAGGAGAGTACTTACTGTACACACGTGTATTGAGGAGAGTACTTACTGTACACACGTGTATTGAGGAGAGTACTTACTGTACACACGTGTATTGAGGAGAGTACTTACTGTACACACGTGTATTGAGGAGAGCACTGCACTGTACACGTGTATACTGTATGCAGTACATATACATGGGTGTACGGTATGGATACGGTATATCCATGTATCGATATGTTTGGAGCATTCCCGAAAAATTATTAACTGAATGTAAAAATTACGTATTGGTGAATTACAAAAGCACCAAATAATTTTGTAAATATGATGAATGAATTATGAGAAATGTTTTTGTTCTTTTTTTTTCCCTCTCAGAATAAAGTGACATACTACCATAAAATATAATCGAGAATTCCTGTTGATTTAAGCAATCGCAAATTTAATCAACAAATCCTAACAAATGTCCACATTGTTGACAAATTTTTTATAATCTAGTTATAATAAAAATATTTGATTCTAATAATTGGCATCAATCTAATAATCTAATAGTTATCGATAATACTTACTTTATCTATTTCCTTATTTGCTTTTTAACTTACCTATTATTAATTTACTAACACCTGACAACCTTATCAATTCCTCCATTATGATTTCTTCCACTAATAATTACCACCTATTAGAGACATAAAGCTTTCAGTCCAAATCGATGGTTTGAGGACAGTTAAAAAAAAAATTTTCAATCTTTCCTTCTCATTCTTTTTCTCTTTCTCTCTCTGTCTCTCTCCTCCTCCTCCATTCTGTTTTCATAAAACTTTAGGCTGTACAAATAAATAAATTAACATACATAATTTTTTTCCTAGTTTACATTACTAAAATGTAGATACAATGCTAATAAAGAATGGCAAATATGTTAAGATTGATCACTGAAAATTGATTTCAATAATTTTAGTAAAAGGTTTATATCAATTTAAATATTTGAAATAATATATTTCTGGTTGAACTGCTTGCTTACTAATTGAGCTAATCAATAGTATTGCGCTAAAGTATATACATAGTGTTATACTTCTTTCATTCTTCCACTATTTAAAGCAAACTAAACTATTAAAGCATTTTACAAATTATTAGCAAAGAATTGACGAAAAATCATTTTATTGCACAAAAATTTTTGCTTATATTCATATAAATATGTATTATTAATGAATCTAAAAGAAATAAAATGAAAAAAAATTGATTAAAATTTGTCAAATTTTAATCAATCGAAAAATATACGATGTGAAATTTCATCCATAACCTTTTATGACTTCCATAATATTTGATAATAAAAGATTTGCAAAAATGCAGAATTAAAAAAAGGAAAATTTTTCCTTCCTTTTTTTTTTGCATATATTACAATTTGTATTTTGATAAATGAAAATATTATGATGTATGATAATTATCATTATAAGAAAATTCGGAAGAGAGAGAGAGAGAAAAAAAAAAATGAAAAAACTGATCAAATCTATAATTAGTTAATTTTTTAAAGCAAGAAATTTCATATAATTTTTTTTTTCTTTTTCCTCTCTTTCATCTGTCAGTAAAAAATTACTTCAATTTGTCATTGTTAATTTGATTATTCATAATGTCACTATTTTACAAATAAATATTTACAATAGCAATGAAATATGTCGATCAGTTAAATTATACGTTTGCTCTTTATGCTGCAAAAGAAAATTTCAATAGCACCAATATTTTGACCTTGGATGAAAATTAAAATGGTAAAATTGAAGTAGGCAAACAGGTCGATTTCATGAAAATTGTAAATAATGTGCAAATATATATTCTTTCTTCAAATTTTGATATATAATATAATAATACAAATATAAATAAGGGAATAATAATAATAATAGTAATAAATGGAAATATTATGTATTATAAGGAATTACAATGTATTACATAAATATTAAATGGAAATAGAAAAAAACACACATACAACGTTTTGAAAAAAAAAAATATAATTACTAAATATTCTATAATATAAAATAATATTGTTTCATTAAAAAATGTTACACATTATTATTTCATAAAGAAGAAAAAAAAGTTTTTTTTTTTTTTTTTTTTTTTTTTTTTTTTAAAGATAAATAAAACCGAATGTGATAAAGTAATCAAATAAATGCAGCAAAAAGAAAGTTGAAAGAAGGAATGAAAGAGAGAAATAGACAGAAATGAAAATTTGATGAAGCAAAATGAAATAATAAAAGGAAAAAAAGTTAAATGAAAAAGAAAGAAAAGAAGAAAGAAAGAAGGAAATTATCTAAAATTTTTTTTAAAAGCGAAAAAAAAAATTGAAATGTTAAAATTTATTCACACAAATGTTGAAATATTTCATTAAGCATTTTTTAAAATCTATTAAAAATGAAAATTAATTGTGATATTTCTCTTTTTTTTAAAAAAAAAAATAATTGAAATTAGTTATAAATTTTTATGAAATATTTGACGGAATAAAATGAATATTTGAAAAGATAAATGTTTAAATTTTTAAAGAAAAAATTTTTTAAACAGAAAATTTGAAAATTTTTCATTACAAATATTTGCATTTAAATTATATGACAAATCAATTGATTTTTCCTATAAAATAAATAACTAGAAATGATTGTTAATGTTTAAAAAAATAGAAAAAAAAAAAAGAAAAGGAAAGATAAATTGCAAATTTACATTTTACATAAAATGAACAAATGTTAATTGATAGATAATAAATGCAATATTTTTAATTTAGATGATATATCGGATGAATCATTTTATAAATTTCAAAGGATAAATTTCTTTGTTACTAATTATCCATCTCTCATTAATATTCTATTATTTCTTATATGAGAAATATTCATTATTATTCTTGCAAAATTTCGCATATTTTATGATTTTGTTTTAATTTAACAATTTCACATAATACAACAAATATAATTTAATATAAATTGAATATTTAATTTTATAAAATTGAAACTTTTCCATTAATTATTAATTATTCACTTTTAGATGATAGAAATTTTACAAATTTGTAATATTTGTGATAAATGTAAGAAAGTAAAAAAAAAAAGTATAAAATAAAAATTTTTAAATTAAATCAGAAAGTATAATTTTATCATATGGAATATTCTCTCAGTCAAAACTGGATAGTATTTGATGAGAAAAATGATAACAATCAATGATTGTTTGAAAAAAAAAAAAAAAAAAGGAATAATCCAATCAATGTTAGCAATACGAAAGAGTATATTTAGTTAACAAGGATAAAATTAATTATTGCTGAAAAATTTTGCCAATTTATTAGATTTGATTAATTGATACCATATCAATGATGAATATGGCAAAATAACAAAAATAAGTCTTCATTTGCGGTCCTATTTTGGCTCTTTTTTTGTAATTTTTGGAAATTATTCGGTTTTTACCGGATATATAATTATGAATTCTGATATTAACTGAAGTTATTTAAGTCATAAATGAATATTTTAAATATTTGTTAGATGAAAAAAAAAGATTCTTTTTTTTTTTTGGAATTTTTAGAAGTACAATAAGAATGAATGAATATACTTTCGCTATTATCAAAGATTTTTGATTAAGTAGAAAAAAATTAAAAATTTGATTGGCAAAAAATGAAAATTAATCATTTCTAAATCAAAATTTTTTTTCTTCAATTTGATTTAATTAAAAAAAATAAATAATTGAGTTCATTTAGATTTAAGAAATTTTTTTGAAAATAGGAAAATACTATTTATTGAAAATAAGCATAACAATGATAAGCTACTTAACGGATGGGACAAGAATGGTGTCATGTCGTTACAGTTCAGCGAAATACTATGGACCGTGAAATAGAAGGTGCGGAATGGTGATTAAGCCGGAGCGTTCCGTTTCATTTTTCTGGCCTTCCATTTTTTTTTTATTTTTTTGTTTCGGATACATCCAATATACTGATACAATAGAATTGGTGATTTAGGAAGCAATTAATGCAATATGAATGTAATAACAGTATGTGTGTGATGTTAAAGACTTGAAAAAAACGAACAAGTTTGTAAATATTAAATTCAATTGTTATCTTCCAGTTTTTTGTATGTTTGGTTGTTCACTTATACATAAATTTGGGAAAATCAGAAAACTTTGATAAACCAATGGTTTTTTCTTCTTTTTTTTTGTGCTGTAATCCATAGTATTAGTTTTGTTTTCTTATTGAATGAATTCATCATTGGCTTCATCCATTTCCTTTTTGTTTTTATTCGAAATGTTTGAATTATTAAAGCATCGGAATAACATAACTTAAATATGCCTTCCTGGTAACTAATTGATATCATGAAAGAAATAACTGAATAGAGTTCAAGAATTTCGTTATATGTACTGGAATGATGTTGCTGTACTCAGTTTAACTAGTTGAAGTCAAGTAAATAAGTTATTATGTCTCTATGATTATTATGAAAAGCAAATATTGTCATGAATCCCTTGCAAGGTTCATATTTCGATTTGATTCATATATTAACACAATAATAATTAATTAGTGCTAATTACCGTTAATGCATAAACTAATATGAAGCCAATACTAGGTGAAATGAAAGTTTATGGGTGACTGAGTTGAAAAAAAAAAAAAAAGTTGAACTGATTGGTATTAAATGGATTGGAGTAAACTTAATCAAAATTTTATGGCTACGAAGCATGAAACGCTCTGTGTTGTTATGTGGTTGATATTAATCGATTGACTGTTCACTCTTCATCTGATTCTGATTTGATTATAAATATTATTTCAGATGGAAGTGAGGTCGGGTAATGTTGCAAAACTGGTAAATCGCTTGAGCAGAGATCTTTCACAATTGAACAAGACAACAACAGCACCATCGGTGGATGTCAGTTTTAGACGATCTGGTAAGCTATCTAACTGGTTTTATCTTCGAATAAATATATAAATTGTAATGAAATTCTAGCATAGATAATAATTTCGAAGTCCTTCAGGTTTTGATAGTGAATTTAATGCATTTAATTTTTACAATAAAATTAATCAGAAAAAAAACTTCCCTAAATGTCGTAAAATATATGAAGATCACTAAAAATATTATAAAGGAATAAAAAGTTTGGCGGTTTTTTCATTACTATTATTATGCTTTCTAACAATAAGTGGACACACAATGTGCGAAATCCAATCATAAGATATTATGATACGCAATTTTTTATTCCATTCTTTGGGTCTTGGTGTGAAATTTGCAACCTTGATTGTTATGAATGCTGGAAAACGATTAC